GGGCGTAGCAGCAAAGCGACGGTTGCCGAAGATCCACAAGAAGTACGAGAAAAGACCAGTCAGCACTGGAGCCGTAACCAGTTCTTAACGGAGGAGTCAGATATCTGAATGCTATCACGACATGTCCGGCCAGTGTCCATGGTAACGATACCGACAGTGAGAACTTGCATTCTTAAATCGAAACATATCCTCACTTAGAAAGAGGAGCAGGAGTTAGTTGGCCATAAGGCACCAACTCGACACAGTCGTCAATGAAGTGCCACAGTTTTGGAAATCTAAACTTCTGCTGGTGAAAGCTATTCTACTCAGGTGTCGACTTCATTACCAGCGCAAAGGTTGGTATTGGTGTTCTAGTAAAACCTAACAGGCTGACAAAATCACTGAATGGATGCCTGTCATTGGAAGAGTAGCAATCATCTCGTTCAACATACAAGATGTTAACGCTTTGACGTTGTTACAGGTCTATGCGGCCAATTTGGAAGGTGAATATGAGTCCTTCCTGAAGCAAGTAGAAGGCTCTCTGTGAGAAGTATCGACTGTGTATTCCATCAATCTAATGGGCGATTTCAGTGCACTTGTCAGAGCTGACGCCGAAAAGTAGAAAGGTACAACTGCGCAGAACGGCTCTTGTGAGCTCAACAATAACGGCATGAAGTTGCTGCGGTTTTGTGCAAACAACGGACTGTCCATTATGAACACCTTCTTCGAGCATCGAAGAGTGCATAAGTAACCCGTTACAGGGAATAATATGCACAGAAGACGATGACGATCGCCTTAATAATCGTATCGCCATATAATGGATGTTCGCGTTAAGAGAGGCGCAGAGCTATCAACCAATCATCACCTTGTTGTTGGCACGCTGCGCTGTAAGAAATGGAGTACCATGCGAAGATCAGATGGCAGAAGCAGCCAGAGAATGAAATGGGAAACATTTTCTTCGGTGGATACGGGAGCAAAACTCGCAAATAACACCGCACGACGGTTTAAACAGACACCGGTGATGACGACGGGTTGGCCTGCCGTCTGAAAGTCAAAAACAAACTTTTCGATGGACAAAGGAGGTAAAACTAGCTGTCAGGGAGAAGGCTGTTTTCAAAAGATGGCTTGGAAACAAAAAGCCTTCAACTCGAACGCGCTACAAAGAAGCGCATAAGGCGGCAGGGAAAATTGATTCCTGAGAAAAGTTCGCTTGTATGTCGCAGTATAATTTCTAGACGGCAAACAAGGTATTCTGGCAGACCACCCGCCCTTCTGAAAAGGAATGAAGAGCACGCGAGGAGTTCTGAAGAACAAATCTGGACGCCTTGGGATGGGGAAGCACTTCGGCGAATGAGACAGTTGTTTGGGGAACTTCTTAACTCCGAGCAACCGCAAGAAGATAGAAGACTTGTCTGGAGAACAGCAGTCAACGGATATTAGTCTATCGGTAGATGAAATCACAGAAACTGTAAAAACCATGAAAAGTGCAAAAGGCTGATCGATGAAGTAGGTCCTGAAATGCTGTAGTCTTAAGGGGAGAAAACACGTCATCAACACATTTCTGTCAAGGAACAATGGGTACGGGGAAGGCACCAGCGACCTAAATAATGGGAGTTGTAGTAGCGCTGTTCAAAAAGAATGACTATAACGAGTGCTATAATTATTAGGACATTGCCTCATTAAGACTTTCGGCTAAAGTCTACAAGAAGTCAAAAACGAGGTGCAGCAGAGTTACTGACTCTAAGAAATAAGAGGAGCAGGGTAGGTTCAGAAGAGACCGAAGCATATCCGACCAGATCTTCGCTTTATGTCAGATTGTTTAGAAATCATGGGAGTTCGCCTATCCGGTGTACATGTGTTTTGTGGATCTAGAGAAAGCGTATGACCGTATCCCACGCAACAGTCTATGGACATGCCTTCGTGCACACGGGATTGATGGCCAGTTGCTAAGGGCCATCCAATCACTGTATTCTGATAGCAGGTGCTGCATCAGAGTTAATGGCGTTAAGTCGAA